TGAGGTGCATGAGGTAGCAATTCAAACTTTAATTAGTTAATTTTGGTCATTACGATAGTGGATTTGTGAGCTGGTGCATTGTCTTGATTGAACAACACTTTTTTTTAGCCAACTGCGACCATTTTTGTTTGATTTCTTCACTCAAACGTTGCAATAAGTTCGCATAATACTCGCTGTTTATAGTTTAACCTGTTTTAAGATAGTCGATGAAAATTATCCCACACGCATCCCAGAAAACCAATGTCCATGGCCTGCAGATGAAACGGTCTTTGCTTTCTTTGGAGCCGGTTCTTCCTTTTGAGTACAGTGTTGTGATTGTTCTTTTGTTTCGGATGTAAAGTGATGGAACCATGTTTCATCCATGATTTTCTTTCTCCGTTTCACCTCATTTGAATGACCACTGGCATGCTCGTCTATGCAGCCCAATATTTCACTGTTGTAAACTAAGTTTATATCTCTGAAGAGATTTATGCTACAATCCGTTTCTCTTCTTTTATGGCATTGATCAGTTGACACCTATATATAATATGTTTTTACCATAAATATGTAATCATTATCATTATGTTTGTGACATGATTTTTCACTTATAAAACATCAAATTTTCATTCATTCGTTTTTTCCCCCTTTTTTCCGCTTTTCTTTCTTCTTCTTTTGCTTCTCTCCCTTCTTTTCTTTTTTTTCTACTTTTCATTGAGTTCGATTGCATATAATTTGTATTAATATAAGTTATCTATCACTGGTTGAGTGGAAGAGCAATTTCTGCCTTGATTTATCATGCGCAGACGTTAAATTCTGCCAATTGTTAGGTTACATTAGTGTCTCTTGTACTGAGTAACCTTTCAAAAAAATCATTTATTATTATTATTATTATTAAGTAGCCATGTCACCCAGAGTAGAAGCCAGTTCAGCTTTTATATTGGTTGGGCTGAGGCTTCTCAAATGAAAGTATTTGTAACACATGACGATGACCAATTTTCTCCATTTTCGCAAATTCACCGAAAAAGTTCGCTATTGATGGCTGCCAAACAAATACCAAACAACGCAGCGTCTTCAAACTTGAAACAAATGCTTAATTGATTTTGCACTTTCTAATACATTGATATTCCCCAAACAACTACCGCCATCTCTAGGTCAGGCTGGGTACTTCTGAGGTATGCATTTCATTTATGTCTGCGTTCGCAAGATTCATTTTCACTGCCGAAAAAATGAGGTAAATCTAGAACTGGGACCTTTTCCATTTAGAATCAAGCATATGTTTTTCATGTATATTGCAGATTTATCAAATCGTCTTCAAACGAATTGTTCCGCCAATGAGGTGATCACACCGAAGAAATGCTAACGGTAAAATATGAATTACTGGGATTATTGTAACCTTTCATAGGATGTAACCTTTGGAAATGCCTCAATTAGATGAGACATATCTAATCAAGTTTCAGCGGTTTTGGTATCTGCTCGGTGAGAACGGTTCTGAGTGGAAGAAAGTCGAGTGGTATTTCACTTCACAAATCGAAATCTTTACGGGGAAAGATAGCAAAAGAAATATTCACATGATTGCGAATAATAGTGAGCATTCATAAAATAATACTTTGATTTTTAATGATTATGCAGTATTCATAATGCAATTTTTTTCCTGGGAACCCCAAATTGGGAAGTGTAACATAGTCTAAGTATCGCTAAAATGATGAGACGGACATCTCTGCTAAAGTTTCGAAGAAAAAACCCAAAACCACACAAATCAATTTCAACTTCAGACTTGTAGTATTACTATCGATAAATCAAAGTGTTTTCGTTAATATTATTAGCATTTTTCTGTATTTTCTGGTACTGATTCTGAATTTTCATGGTTAATTTCATTGACACTAGTAAATCTATAGTAAATCTATCAATCTATCGATTTATTTCATCACTTGACACACAATCCTAATCAGGAATTATAGAGAAAATAGTTGGGAATATCATCCACTATGAATCTTTCATAGTTCTCTTGCTACACTTTGCTGTCTCCAAACTTTCGAAAGCATTCAAAAATCTAGTGTCATGTTATCTCAACAACTTCAGGCACTCTTCAATAATCTCACGGTATTTCTTCAAGCGGCACACGATTTTCTGGTCTTCGAAATCGGATATATGCAGCGTGTTCTTTGAAACACGTTTCAATGACTTGCCTAGTCTGACCGATGTATTCCTGGCACAGTCACCACAGCTGATTCCATATATTTCATTCTCCAACCTCTCTTCTGTGTGTTAACTGAAAAGTTGAAGTAAGCAAACAGTTTTGGAGGTTACTTTTACGTATCTTGGTTCATACGGAAGGAAAATGAACTTTGAATCCATGTCTTTTTGAAGAGTCGAAGAGGTTGCAGAGGTTCCAGTTTTGTCTTTCGAAAGTTTATGATGAAAAATGACATCACTTTTGCCAAAATTCATGTGATTGTGGGTATTTTTTCACAGGGTGATACACCTGCTGCAAAATATCAAAATTAAAACTGGTCGGATCACTCACATAAATAAGCATTCACAACTAGAAGGTGAATATGCCCACAATATTCAATATATTTCGCGACGGTATCGATGAAGCAATTTTTTGTATTTCATGAAAGGGTTAATGTAAATGTGGAGAAATTCAATGAATGTTATTGTCGAAAATGAAAACACACACCTTAAAAAGTTTTTGAAATCTGTCTGGAAGTTTCTATAGGGGTACAGTTCCAAGTGAGCGACGTTAAATCGACTGTCTCAGATTCTTCTGCACAATCTCACAGACAGCGGCGATGTTTTGTCAAAGTTCGGAAGACTGTAACTTGATGCCAAGGAACTATAAGAGAGACTTTATTATTTTTTTTTGAAAAAGGTGAAAACTTAACCAATAACCCCGTATATGCAATTGGTGAATTTTTATATCCACTTAAAAATTGATGTTACATTTGTGTATGTATTTGTGTTTATGTGTAAACATGTATATAGTGTGTATATTGTAATTTCATATTTATAAGCATTGTCGTAATTAGATGATTTGTATGCATGAACAATCCTCATTTTAATTATTTATTGACGAACCTATCATATTTTTATAGCAAAAAGACAACGAATGAATTGAATTGAGTTACGGTTTGATAAAGTCCCGATTATATGAGAAAATGAACACTTGAACCTGCCTTATAGAAATCACACCATCTTCTGAGCTTAATACGCCGTCTATCGGATCAACACAGAATTCAGTTCACGAGATTTATCCTCTGTCTGTCAGTGCAGCTTTCACTGCAAAGCAACTAGAGCTCAAACATAACGCATTCATGATTCAATCTCAGGCAGCGCTGTCTCAACCCGCCATAGGTCTCATCAGTGGTACTGGGCTGAACCACAAATGCTTTGCTGGACTGTCAAATCTCGTGATCTCTCCAATTTTTGTTTTCCAAGTGTGACACGTCTCAGATCTCTTGCGTGTTCATTGCCTGATGTGTAACAAATAAGTGGCAAGTAATAAAGTCGTTGGAACAGCGTTACAACGGCGTTAGAGAATCTGCGTGTCGCTGATACTTTTGCTATAATTCATCGTCTTTATATCACGCTGTATCGTTTATCAACAGAGTCTGATTTGCATGCGCGTAACCAGTGACCATGATCAAGTAGCACTAATCGAGATAACTATTGCTATTTCTATCTGTCGTTTATACTACGTGCATGGCCAGCTGGTGTCTGTACATAACTACTTTTAAATGAGGAAGAATTTTCGTTTGTTTGTTCTTTCATTATATTGGAACTCAAGAGACATATTCTTCAGTGATTCTTAATGTTGGTGTAGAAAAAATCATTATATAAATGATAAAAAAACATTCATGTCAACTCATCAATATTTTTGTATGATTTTCACTAAAAAAGGTTTTTGACACGTGTTTCGCTATACAATAGCTTTGTCAAAAAAAACTCTGAAATGAAATTACAGTGAAATAAAATAAAAGTAAAAAATACAATTGAGCAAAAAAAATCAAAAACTAAGAGATTGCAAGCCAAGTTACTTCACGACGTTTTGATTGTTAGTATCCACAATCTTCATTCAGGTGATGACTGGACTAATTCGTCAGAGAGATGACTATTTATGGGTCATCCGAGTACCATCGCTTATCTTCTCTTTTTACTTTCCGCTTCACCGGTTTAGCGAGAGAGTACCATTTGGCTGGAGTTGGGCCATTTTTCCCTTGATTGTAGGTTTCCATATGTTGCATATTTCTATGTTAGCTTGACTGAATACATTGTTGGACAACATGTATGCGGCTTCTTTGAATTTCCTCCTAAACCAGCGTGCCTCCCTATGTATGATCTCAGCTTGGGACCACTCGATATTATGTTGATGGGTCCAAACATGCTCTGCTATTCCTGATTTGCTGGTTTCCCCTCGCTGTGTGTGTTTCTTGTGCTTGGCAATGAGAACATTCAATGGCCTCTTAGTTTCGTATTACAGAGCCCGAAAGCACGGTTTAATAAAGTCTTGATGATTCCTCTTCTAATCGATTGATAGTTTGGATTCGTGGTTCAGATACTGTCCCGTGTGAATGGAATTTCAGTATACAGATGGTTCCCACTTAATGTTGGTCCTCTTCACCAATACGTCTGAGAATGGCAATTCGTTGTGGACTTTCTTTTCCATTGTAAAAGTGATGGGAGGTCTTACGCTGTTGATGTGTTTCAAAAAGGCGTCTATTTCAGTATGACCATGGTTCCATATTATAAAGGTGTCAGACTCGGGGTTTCTTGTGGGCTTCTTCAATGACTAGAATTTCCAAACCACTCCATAATATGTTGGCTATAACTGGTGAGAGTGGCGATCCCATTGGCAGTCCCTTTTCAGCTGAT